GTGTAGTGGGCAAACAAATGATCAGAGTAAAGCAGTGCTTTGCAAGTGAGCACTGGTAACACCATATGGATAGGCGTAGCAGAGATGAGAATAAGTCTGGAGGACTTATGCGTCTCAGAGCTCTGGCTTATATACATGAGCGGAGGGACCCTAATGACCCTGATGCCCCAGAACCGCTATCTAATGGATGAGGTCTGATTGGCTACCACTGCCTGTCAGACTGGATGTGTCATGTATGCCAAATATCCGAACTACTTAGTAAGACCATGGGACTATCTGGCCTGTAATGGCTACATCGCCGGTGGCATGGCACCGTTCTATTCTAGTATGTGAACTAATGTACTCTTTGGGACATATCTCCGGTGGCGTGTTCATTCCTTGAGGGATTCCTCTGAAGTCCGACTGTGCCTTCTAGGTGGGATGATATTACTGTACAAGTTAGCTTACCTAATACCTGCGCCACTTATCACATGTATGGATATCACATGGTGTGTCATGTGACTGGACCTAGACTTCCGGGGCACTTAGGACTGTCAGTACTTCGCGTACCGGTTCATTCCTTTCTGGACAGCCTAGTGCTGGTTTATGTAATGTCTTGGTCACGTGAAGGTTGAGAACGTAAAAATCTGTGACAGTACTCCCTCCTCTAGACAGTTCGTCCCAAATCTGGCTTTTGACGTGATTTTTGGAAGTAATTATCGCCTGTTGAACCAAATCCACGGTGCCCTCGATCGGATGGTTTGAGATAATCTACTAGTGAAACAGCAGGGGTGGTAATACTTTCAATGATGAGTTGGGCGATTCGATCGCCAATATTGACTATAAAGTCATCATCCGTATTATTGATTAGCAAAACCTTGATTTCGCCTGTATATCCTCTGTCGATGACACCAGCACCTGTGTCGATGCCTTTGACGGCTAATCCACTGTGGGGTGCAATTTGACCATAAGTTCCTCGAGGTGTTGTGAAATGAAGTCTCGTGGAGACTAGTCCGCGCGATCGTGCTCAGATAGTTGTTGGTTCTGATGCAGCTAAATCCATTCCAGCATCGTCTTCGTGAGCATATTTTGGTGGTTTTACATTGGGATTGTTGAAGGTAACCTGAAGATCCCTTGAAGTGTCCCAATCATCTCTATCTTAGTCATAAATCTGGATAGTATCAGTGGCAGGGTCATAGATTTGACCTGTTCTCCTTGGTTCAAAAATGCCATCGACTGGATTTGTATCGATAAGAGATATTGATTGTGGTGCGTCTGAATATTTCTTGTGAAATTCTCAAATTAGACGCGGAGATTTCTTTAGGTTAGCGGCTAGCTCCCAAGTTTCTTCCGCTTTGGAGTAGCCTTTCCAATGTATCAAATATTAAAGTTTGTCACGAATGACACGAGAGTCGACTATGTATTCGACTTCCCATTCTTCGCCAGTTTTCTTTTTAATTGGAGGACGGGGTCTAAGTGTGCATCCAGGTATTTCATCTTCGTGGTAAAGCGTGAGCTTAGATGCGTGAAAAACTGGATGAATGCCGTATTGCCGCAGCATTTGTAGTTTATATGTAACTGGTCCTAGTTTTTTCACAATTTTGAAGGGTCCATCTCTCCGTTGTGCCAGTTTGGCTCCCGATGTTTGCCAATCTTTAGTGGAGAGTAGTACTTGGTCTCCGACTTTGAATGGCGGGGGTCGTATGGATTGATCGTAATACCACTTCATGCATTCAGCTGCCAGCGATAAGGCTGCTTTCGCTTGCTCCTGCACTTCTACGCATGCCTGCATTATAGAATCTAACGTCTTATGTTTAATGGGGTCCATTATTGTTGGTTCTGCGCATGGATGTCTACCATATTTGATAAAGAATGGAGAATTCTTTGTGGCTTCTGATGCCTGGTTATTGTATGCGAATTCGGCAGTTGGAAGTAATGTGCTCCAGTCTTCCACATGTCTATCAGTATAAATACAGAGGTATTGTTCTAACGATTGATTGGTGCATTCCGTTTGACTATCAGTCTCCGGATGATATGCCGAAGACATTGTTGAATTTATCCCAAGTAGCTTACAAACTTCTTGAAATAATGCGCTTGCAAATTGAGTTCCTCTATCCCAGATGATTTGTCTCGGGAGACCGTGCTATGTCCACACCCTTTCATAAAAGGTGCGAGCAAGATCTGTTGCAGAGAATTCATTTGTGATTGCAAAGAAGTGTGCACGTTTGGTCAATCGGTCAACTACTACCATTATTGTGTTGTAGCCATTAGACTCTGGTAATTGTGTAATCAAATCGACAAAACAATTTCCCAGGGTTCCGTCGGGATTTCGTTTGGTTGTAGATCTCTGTACTTTGGCTGATTGATGTTCTTGTTGCATTGACAAAGATCGCAAGAACAAACATATTTTTTGACGTAAGTGGACATTTCCGGCCACCAGTAATTATGAGATAACATCTCATATGTCTTCCATCTTCCTGGATGACCTGCACTGGCAGCTTCATGATGACGTTGGACGATTTCTCGTCTAAGTGATTCCTTTTTATCTGCTTTCGGCACGTAGACTTTGCCTCGGTAAAGCAATATCCCACTTTCGAAGTTCCAGTCTTCGAGTCCTTTTGAGAACTCTCGTTGCCCTTTCTTAAGTAAATCTTGATAAGATTTGTTCACATTGTCGTCTTGAAGTGCCATTTTTATCTTGTCCACCAAATCGTGATCTGTGACAACTGTGAGGTGAGGGTGTTGGATTGCTTTAATCGTGAAATATTCAGGTTTGAGTAGAGTTTTATCTGAATTATCGAGATTCACCCCCTCCTCATGATCTGGCCTCCTGGGCAGAGGATCGGCGCGATGCATTGATTTTCCTGGTTTGTGATGTAGTTGGATGTTGAACCGTGTGAGGTAAAGTGACCATCGAGCTTGCCGTCTTGTCAGCTTTTGTGCTGATTTGAAATAGGTCAAGTTCTGGTGATCGGACCAAATTTCTACTGGGAGCGGATGATCTTCGAGATGTTGTCGGTATTCTTCCAATGCTCGAATGATTGCGAGCATCTCTTTGTCATAGATTTTGTAATTCCGCTCAGCTGCAGTTAGGCTTTTTGAGTAGAAAGCGATTGGATGCCACAACCTATCATCTTTGAGTTGTTCAAGGCATGCGCCAGTGGCAAAATCGCTTGAGTCTGTTTCTAACCGGAATGGATGAACATCATCCGGTAACACCAGAATTGGAGCTGTGGTAAAGGCATGTTTAAGAGAATCAAATGCCTGTTGCTGTTCCTCGCTCCATACCCATTGTTGATCCTTCCTTGTCAGGATATTGAGTGGTCGAGACTGTTTGGCAAATCCTTCGATGAATCGACGATAGAAGTTAGCGAACCCGAGAAAGGCTTGTACTTGTTTAACCTTCTTGGGTTCAGGCCATTCGAGAACACCTGCGACCTTTTGTGGATCCATTTGGACCCTTCCTTTTGCAATGATCATGCCGAGATACTCAATCGATGGTTGTTCGAAGAAGCACTTCTCAGGCTTTGCAAAAAGGTCATTTTTCCGCAGTCTTTTTAGTACCTCTTTTGTAATCTTCCGATGTTGTTTGAGATCGTTGGTGAAGATTAAGATGTCGTCGAGGTAGACGATCACATGGCCTTCCCAAATAAGATCATCCAAAATCTCATTCATCATGTGTTGGAAGGTGGCTGGTGCATTGCAGAAACTGAAAAACATAACTGTTGCCTCGTATAATCCCCGATGCGTAATAAACACTGTCTTCCATTCATCACCCTTGCGGACGTAAACATTATTGTACCCCCAGCGGAGATCCAATTTGGTGAATATGGAAGTGTTGCTGAGCTGATCAATTAGCTCACTTATTCGAGGGATTGGGAAGCGGTTTTTCTTGGTTATTTTGTTCAGTTTTCGGTAATCTTGTACCAGTCTTAGTGTGCCGTCTTTCTTTTTGACAAAGAATATGGGTGCAGCAATCAGTGATTTCGATTTGCGAATATAGCCCTTGGCTAGATTTTCATCGATCCATGAATCCAGAGAATTGCGCTCCTCAGGATTCATTGGATAAAGCTTGCTTGGTCATGGTAATGTGTGGTCTTCTTCAAACTCGATTATGTGATCATACAGCTTTCGAGTTGGCATCCTTTCCGGTGCTTTTTTGGAGAAGACATCACTGAATGAATGTAGGTAATCTGGTACTAGCTTTTTCCAGGATTCTACCTCGTTAATAACCTGATTCTGGCTGCCAGTGTTTGACTGGGGTGCCACTTCATTCAGGTCTTCCTCTGGTTCAGCATAGCTGCAGTCCGTGAGTTGCAGAATCATGCGAGCTATTTGTTCAGCTTCGGAGTCGTCCATTTAGACCCACGAGATGATAGGATTTATCGCATCAATGTTTTGCCCATTGAACATCCTATAAGCGACTGGCTCCTCATCAGCCATGTGTTGTGCACGTTGCGAGATTTCCTCAGCTTCCTCTCTCGCAATGGCTTGTTGTTTTTCATGAAGCCTCTGGTGGTGACACGTTTCAGGGCATCGGGAATATTTCCATTCTCCAAGTTGCCAATTTATCTCCGGATTGTGTTGACGGAGATACAACATCCCAATGATCAGGTCTAGCTTTCCGATGTCTGTGACTAGCAGATGGTGGGTTGAACCATGATCTCCTACTTTGATGTAGGCTTTTACGTAGTCAGTTATTTCACCGTGCTTGTTTTGGGATCTGTCCGCGTTATATACTCTGTATGCGGTGTTCAGCTTGAATGTGGCAAGTCGATTGTTTCTTACAAATCGCTTGCTGATATACATGGAATATGCTTCTGAATCGACTAGAGCTTCGGCGCTCAATTTTTTGCCATACACCCATAATGTAACTGGTAGATAGAATGATAATAGATTTGGAGCCGAATTCTTAATAGTTACATTATGTTCCTCTGCATTGTGATGATCTACAGAGGAGTCTGAGCCGGGTGCTACTTGTACAGGTCTTATATAACATTCAGGGGACTCTAACGAGCTGCCTACAGATCCCCTTTGAGAAAATCCTTCAGATCCTTTCGCGAAGAGCCCTCTCCTGCCTTTCTGGATGAGTTAGATCCACTGACCCTCAGGTGCCTGAGCCTTGAGAGGATCTCGGCCAGTTCTTCTTCGTCCGACTCAGATGCTTCAGGCTCGCTTTTCGAGTGGATGCTGTGGTCACTTATGTGTGCAGCTGTCTCCTTACCCTTCCCCTTAGTCTTAGAGGAAGAGGACTTTTTGTGCTTCCTTGTGTCGACATCTGAGTCGACTTCCATCTCGCTATCGGATGAAGCAGAATTCGATGCGACTTGTCGTGTCCTGGATGACTTTGCCTTCTTCTTGGCGTCGTCCTTGCTCCTCACATCCTTCTTCTTCATGGCTGCCTCCTTCTCTTTCTCTGCCTGTTTCTTGACATGATTTAATTTAAAACAATCAGAGCAATACTTGCCGAAGTGCTTTGATGACTTGAAGAATGTCGGCTTGTTCTTCTTGCAGTTGGCGCATACCAACTTATCATCTTGCACTCTGCGCGCCTTGCCCGATTTCACCTTCCCCTTCTTCCCTACCACGTCAACCTCCATGGCATTAGGATCTTTAGTATCAGCCTTGGCATAACGGTTCTCTCGTTGAAGCGAAGTAAACATCCAGAGTGCGAATGTAAGGAACTCAGTCCATTTCTGGGGCCACTTGTCCTTAGGCGTGTCTGCCAACATGAGCAGCCACGTCTTTTCCAGGATGTGTTTCTTGACCTTTTCGATTAGGTCTTGATCCAAGAAGCCAGTGCCGGTTGCCTTTGAACGGAATTCTTCTGCGAACTTTCAGAAGTCTCGATGTTCCTTCTTGATGAAAGATTCTAACTCTGTTCGCTTCTTGTCATCCTTGTCCAAAGATTCGTATGCTGTGCGAAGTTCATCGACGAACGTCACCCAAGTCCCTGGTGCCTTGTTGGTTTTGTTGATGGTGGTAATCCAATGTCACATGTATTCGCGTGCTCCTCCTTTTAGCAGCAAGAGGGTGGACATAATCTTGGACTCGTCTTTGGTATGTCCGGTGTATTTTAACCAGAGCATAACCTGTTCGAGCCAATCATTGAGATTGACTCCGTCCTTATTGCCACCATATTTTTCAGGCTGGTCAATTTTTACGCCCTTTCCTTTGCGACCGAACACGACTTCATCGTCGTCATCCGTGTCTGCAACATTGTTACCACCTTGTCCCGCCTTCCTCCCTTGTGTGTTCGCTCATGTCCGAAGTCGATCATGCGACTTCTTGAGTGTGTCAACCATGTTGTGAAGCTCCTCATCATGTTCTCCCAAAGTTGTTACTTTGGTCTCGAGATTTTGTCGATAGTCCTCGACCAGCTCTTGCAACTCTGTGGTTAGAGCTGCGACCGTCTTCTCCAAATCTCCTATTTGGGAAGCGAGCTGTTGTCTCTGAGTGTTGAGGAACATTGTACGATTATGGAACTCCGTGGTGGTTTGTTGAGCAATACTTTCTTGTCACCCAATAAGATTTTCATAGTGCACCACAGTATCTTGACGCGTCTTTTCCACCACATTGGTGACTAGGTCGACTACCCAATTTTTAACATTATCGGGTATATGGGCATCTGGGGGCGCCGTATTGGCGAGGGCTTGATGAATAATTGGATTTGGAGGTTGTAATGTTACATTGAGATGTGCGGGGAGCTCCGGAGATGGAGCCCGAGAGAAACTGGGATCATTGGAGGTCGGAGTGGTGTGAGACATATTTTTATCAATTTTCTTCCTCTATTTCACATAGATGTTCCTCGAATTCGGTGATATGACTATTTGCGATTACTGCTGAGCAAACAATTTGATGATTTGCACGTGCATGTTGTAATACCCACACGTCGTTGAATATAACCTTGACAAAAGGCTGCCACAGGAATTTAGTTTTATACCTGGCTGCTGCCCACTGATGGTTATGATGGATGTCGCAAATGCGTTCGGTTTCTTCGAGCCAGTCGATGAAGCTATCATATGCTTCGGTTACATGATCTTCGGGTTCTTTGCCTGCAATTAGGATATAGTGGATGTGTACCGCAACGTTTCTCCAATCGAATTCTGTGTATAATTGGAGAGCCGATAGGTGATAGACGTCGTGATAATCGATGTGAAAAATGTCTTCGTATATAACGAAGGCTTCTGCTGCTCTGTCATGAAGTGCGCGTGGAATTGCATCCCAAAGAGAATCGAATGTATGTCCGACCGGATGTATGTGCTCAAAGTTATTCAGATCGTTAGAATCGCCAGATGAATTTGAACTAATGGATCAGTTCGAGTCGTCAAATGATGACATATAATAGGTATCTACTACAAAGGTCTGCCCATGACCTGTATTCCTAGACGATATTGCTGGATAATATCTCTTATTATCCAATGAGCTTCTCCTCCTTGTCATTTCCTTTCCTGAACGTAGTCGCAAAAGGCGCGTACCACGTGTTGATGTATGAAAGGAAGTTTGAATTCTGCAATATCTGTGAGGATTAGCTCGAGCTTGTGAATGAGGTGCTCGAGGTCGAGGATGTCGTAGTTGTCTAGTTGACGATGGTACCATTTAGTGAGGAATAGGTGAACTTGTCGAAGGGTGCCTTCGACGTGCCGTGTAGATATGATAAAAACCGCGAGAGGATAGATGTAATGAGACCCTAGAGGGGTCTCGACGTATGTCCCTTGATTAATGAGATCTGGACCTGGGGGTCCTGCAGATAGAGTCAGTTGCCTGACTGATGGAGACTGGATATTGGATACTGAACTGTTGCCGTGTGGGGGCCGACTTCCCATTGAGATGTGTCCTGGCCTTGGCAGGGGTCTTATGAGCTGCTGCTTGTAGAACTCGATTGGAGTTCTCGCTCGAGGATGACAGATTACACCGTCAGTGCTGCGCAATGCCTTGGAGTGGCTTACGCTGGTAGAGTCAGCATCTGCTGGAGAGGCAGGTGAAGATATGACACTGCTAACGTGCAGGTGGACGTGCGAAGATGCAACACTGCAGTGAGCGCACTGAGCAGGCACTCGAGGCAGGTAAGGTCAGACTTATTCTTCTATCACAAACTTAGGATGCAAGGCACCGACTAAGCCTATGACTTAAAGATCAAACACTTACTTGTTGATAGTCGAAGTGTAGTGGGCACACAAATGATCAGAGTAAAGCAGTGCTTTGCAAGTGAGCACTGGTAACACCGTATGGATAGGTGTAGCAGAGATGAGAATAAGTCTGGGGAACTTAGTCGTCTCAGAGCTCTGGCTTATATACATGAGCGGAGGGACCCTAATGACCCTGATACCCCAGAATCGCTATCTAATGGATGAGGTCTGATTGGCTACCACTGCCTGTCAGACTGGATGTGTCATGCATGCCGAATATCTGAACTACTTAGTAAGACCATGGGACTATCTGGCCTGTAATGGCTACATCGTCGGTGGCGTGGCACCATTCTATTCTAGTATGTGAACTAATGTACTCTTTGGGACATATCTCCAGTGGCGTGTTCATTCCTTGAGGGATTCCTCCGGAGTCTGACCGTGCCTTCTAGGTGGGATGATATTACTGTATAAGTTAGCTTATCTAATACCTGCACCACTTGTCACATGTATGGATATCACGTGGTGTGTCACGTGACTGGACCTAGACTTCCAGGGCACTTAGAACTGTCAGTACTTCGCATACCTGTTCGTTCCTTTCTGGACAGCCTAGCGCTGGGTTATGTAATGTCTTGGTTACGTGAAGGTTGAGAACGTGAAAATCTGTAACAAACTCGAAAGCTATATGATCACGCAATCGAGTTTGAAGAAGACTATACATTACCACGACCAAGCAAGCTTTATCCAATGAATCCTGAGGAACGAAACTCCCTGGATTCATGGATCGACAAAAATTTAGCCGAGGGCTATATTCGCAAGTCGAAATCACCTATTGCAGCCCCTGTATTCTTTGTCAAAATGAAAGATGGCACATTAAGACTGGTACAAGACTACCGAAAGCTTAATGCAATAACCAAGAAAAATCGCTTCCCAATCCCTCGAATAAGCGAGCTAATCAATCAGCTCAGCAACACTTATATATTCACTAAATTAAATCTCTATTGAGGATACAATAATGTTCGCATCTGCAAGGGTGATGAATGGAAGACAGTGTTCATATCGCATCAGGGATTATATGAGGCAACAGTTATGTTTTTCAGTTTTTGCAACGCATCAGCCACCTTCCAAAACATGATGAATGAGATTTTGGATGATCTTATTCGGGAAGGCCATGTGATCGTCTACCCCGACAACATTCTAATCTTCACTAACGATTTCAAACAACATCGGAAGATTACAAAAGAGGTACTAAAAAGATTGCAGAAAAATGACCTTTTTGCCAAGCCTGAGAAGTGCTTCTTCGAACAACCATCGATTGAGTGTTTGAGCATGATCATCACAAAGGGAAGGGTCCAAATGGATTCACAAGAGGTCGCAGGTGTTCTCGAATGGCCTGAACCCAAGAAGGTTAAATAAGTACAAGCCTTTCTCGGGTTCGCTAACTTCTATCATTGATTCATCGCAGAATTTGCCAAACAGTCTCGACCACTCAACATCCTAACAAGAAAGGATCAGAAATGGGTATGGAGCGAAGACCAACAGCAGGCATTCGATTCTCTCAAACATGCCTTTACAACAGCTCCAATTCTGGCGTTACCAGATGATACTCATCCATTCCAGTTAGAAACGGACTCAAGTGATTTTGCCACTGGTGCGTGCCTCGAACAACTCAAAGATGATGGGTTATGGCATCCAATCGCATTCTATCCCAAAAGCCTCAACGAGGCTGAGCGGAACTACGAAATATATGACAAAGAGATGCTCACAATTATATGTGCACTCAAAAAATATAGACAGCATCTCGAAGATCATCTGCTCCCAGTAGAAATATGGTCCGATCACCAGAACTTGACCTATTTCAAATCAGCACAAAAGCTGACAAGACGGCAAGCACGATGATCGCTTTACCTCACACGGTACAACATCCAACTACATCACAAACCAGAAAAATCAATGCATCACACCGATCCTCTGTCCAGGAGGCCAGATCATGAGGAGGGGGGTAAATCTCGATAATTCAGACAAAACTCTGCTCAAACCTGAATATTTCACGATTAAAATGATTCAACACACCCACCTCACAGTCGTCACAGATCATGATTTGGTGGACAAGATCAAAAAGGCACTTCAAGATGACAATGTGAACAAATCATATCAAGATCTACTCAAGAAGGGACAACGAGAGTTCTCAAAAGGACTCGAAGACTGGAACTTCGAAAGTGGGATTTTACTTTACCGAGGCAAAGTCTATGGGCCAAAAGCAGATAACAGGGAATCACTTAGGTGAGAAATCATCCAGCGTCATCATGAAGCCACCAGTGCAGGTCATCCAGGAAGATGAAAGACATATGAGATGCTATATCGTAACTACTGGTGGCCGAGAATGTCCACTTACAGTGACCCACAAAACTGTTGATAAGATTGCTTACTTCAAGTTGTATAGTGAATATCTCCTCAACCACTGCGTCAAATAAATTGCATAAGAGCCCATTTGAAAGTCTATTATTATGGCTTTCCAATGCAGTTTTAATCATGTTCTTACCACATGTTGATCCCAAGATATTTGATACTCTTTGAGGGCCACTCTTATCAACAGTTTTGTGGCACATATTCAGGTTCTACAAAATTGTACTTTCAGTACTTGGTATAGCCTCCCTTTGCTTTCACAACTGCATCCACCCTCCTTGGCATACTTTTAATCAGATTATGACACACTTCCTTCCCAATAGCCTTCCGTTCCTTTTCCACCCTTTCTCACAACTCAGTAATTCCCTTTGGTGGCTTCTGATACTCTGCAAGCTTCCTTTAGAGATGACCACCCAGATGCCCTATGGGATTAAGATCTGGGGATTGAGAGGGACATATCATAGTGTTGAAATCATGGTCTTTGAACCAATTTTCAGCCTTCTTGCTGGTGTGCTTGGGGTCATCGTCTTGCTGAAATGCCACATCCTCCACAGTTTTGCCCCAATCCTCCAGGCTATTCTGCAGCTCATCCTCCAGAATGCTAACATAAAGGCCTGCATTCATCCTGCCATCAATTTTGCAGGCATATCCCACACCATCCCCAGCCCATACAGCCCCACATCATCAAGGATCCACCTTTAAATTTCTGGGTCCCTTCCATCAACCTATCATTGAGGCTCTCTCCTGGCTTTTTTCACATCCATTTCCTTCCATCTAACCCCATCCTGTTGTTTTTTGTCTCATCTGACTATACCACCCTTCTTCATTCCTTCACAGTCCAATACGGGTGAGCCAAAGCAAAGTCCATCCTCTTTTTTTGATGCCTTGCAGAGAGTAAAGGCCTTTTTCACTTTACTACAGCCTTCATTCCTGCCTTCTTCAACCCTCTTCGCACTGTCTCTGCATTGACAATCCTCTCAGTAACATCTTCAAGAGCTCTGGCCACAGCAGGAGATGTGGTAGCCTTGCCAGTCCCAATGAGTCGAGTAGCATAGCAAAGATTTGACAGTAGTAAGAAGGGAAGGATGTCCTCCTTTGACCTTAGGAATGGTGAGGCAGTGTGTGGAGTGCAGTTTACTGATGGTAAAATAGTGTAGCCCAGTCAAAGCTTCAATTTCTTGAAGAGATTTGCCATTCTGAAGCAAAGCGATGACATGGTTGACAGTTTCAGTAGCAACAGCTTTTGGCATGATGTTGGTTAAGTATAAAGAGTTGCTGATGGGTGTTTCTACACTGAATTCATGTTGAAACATGATCACTCAATCAATATTCCCACAAGGAACCCTGTTAACACATCAAGAATCACAATTTTCAGAGAACTTGTGTGTGCCACAAAACTGTTGATAAGAGTGACCCTCAAAGAGTATTAAATATCTTTGGATCAAAATGTGTTACAAATATGAGCAAAACTGAATTCGAAAGCCATGATTATAGGCTTTCAAATAAGCTCTTATAAAATGTATTTGACTCATTGATTGAGAAGATATTTATCATACAATTCAAAGTAAGTGATCTTATCAACAGTTTTGTGGGTCACTGTATGTCAAAAAATATGTTGGTTCTTGCGACCTTTGTCAACGCAACAAGAACATCAATCAGCCAAAATATGGAGATCTATAACCTAATGAAATTCTGTCGGAACTGTGGGAAATCATTTCCGTCGACTTGATTACACAGCTACTAGAGTCTTATGGCTACAATGCGATCATGGTAGTAGTCGACCGATTGACCAAACGAGCGCACTTCTTTGCAATCACCAATGATTTCTCTGCAATGGATCTTGCTCACACCTTCTATGAAAGGGTGTGGACACAGCACGGTCTCCCGAGACAAATCATCTCAGATAGAGGAACCCAATTTGCAAGCGCATTATTTCAAGAAGTTTGTAAGCTACTTGGGATAAATTCAACAATGTCTTCAGCATATCATCTGGAGACGGACAGTCAAACGGAATGCACAAATCAATCGTTAGAACAATACCTTCGTATTTATACTGATAGACACGTGGAAGATTGGAGTACACTACTCCCAACTGCTGAATTCGCATACAATAACCAGGCACCAGAAGCCACAAAGAATTCTCCATTCTTTATCGAATATGGTAGACATCCATGTGCAGAACCAACAATAATGGACCCCATTAAACATAAAACACTAGATTCTATAATGCAGGCATGCGTAGAAGTGCAAGAGCAAGCGAAAGCGGCCTTATCTCTGGCAGCTGAATGCATGAAGTGGTATTAGGATCAATCCATACGACCCCAGCCTTTCAAAGTCAGAGACCAAGTACTACTCACTACTAAAGATTGGCAAACATCGGGAGCCAAACTGGCACAACGGAGAGATGGACCCTTCAAAATTGTGGAAAAACTAGGACCAGTTACATACAAACTACAAATTCCATGGCAATATGGCGTTCATCCAGTTTTTCACGCATCAAAGCTCATGCTCTACCATGAAGACGAAATATCTGGATGCACACTTAGACCCCGCCCTCCAATCAAAAAGAAAACTGGCGAAGAATGGGAAGTCGAATACATAGTCGACTCTCATGTCATTCATGGCAAACTTCAATATTTGGTACATTGGAAAGGCTACTCCAAAGCGGAAGAAACTTGGGAGCTGGCCATTAACTTGAAGAAATCTCCACGTCTAATTTGAGATTTTCACAAAAAATACCCAGACGCACCTCAACCAATATCTCTAATTGATACAACTCTAGTCGATGGTGTTTTTCCACCAAGAAGAACAGGTCAAATCTATGACCCCATTACTGATACTATTCAGATTTACAACTAGGACAGAGATGATTGGGATACGACAAGGGATCTTCAAGTTACCTTTGACAATCCAAATGTAAAACCACCAAAATATGCTCACGAAGATGATGCTGGAATGAATTTAGCCACATCAGAACCAACAACTATCCGAGCACATTTGCGCAGATTAGTCTCTACAGGACTTCATTTCACAACACCTCGAGGAACCTATGGTCAAATTGCACCCCGTAGTGGGTTAGCTGTCAAAGGCATTGATGTAGAAGCTGGCATCATTGACAGAGGATATACAGGTGAAATTAAAATTTTGCTAATCAATAATACAAATGATGACTTCATAGTCAACATCGGCGATCGCGTCACCCAACTCATCATTGAACGTATTATCACCCCCTGTTGTTTTACTAGTAGATTACCTCAAACCATCTGATCGAAAACACCGTAGATTTGGTTCAACTGGCGATAATTACTTTCAGACACCACAACAAAAGCCAGATTCAGGACAAACTGTCTAGAGGAGGGAGTACTGTCACAGATTTTCACGTTTTCAACCTTCACGTGACCAAGACAGTCTAGGTTCAGTCACGTGACACACTACCTAATACAAACACATGTGACAAGTGATGTGGGTATTAGATAAGCTAACTTATACAGTAATATCATCCCACTAAGAAGGCACAGTCAGACTCCGGAAGAATCCATCAAGGAATACACATGCCACTGGAGATATGTCCTTAGATAGATAGAAGTTCATATACTAGAATAGCATGGTGCCATGCCACCAGCGATGTAGCCATTACAGGCCAGATAGTCCCATGGTCTTACTAAGTAGTTCAGATATTCAGCATGCACGACACATCCAGTCTAACAGGCAGTGGTAGTCAATCAAACCTCATCCATTAGATAGTGGTTCTGGGGTATCAGGGTCATTAGGGTCCCTCCACTCATATATATAAGCCAGAGCTCTGAGACGGCTAAGTCCCCCAGACTTATTCTCATCTCTGCTATGCCTATTCATACAGTGTCACCAGTGCCCACTTGCAAGGCACTGCTTTACCTTTGATCATTTGTTTGCCCATTCCACTTTGACTATCATCTTCCATAGGTCATAGGCTTAGTCGGTGCTCTGCACCCTAAGTTTGTGATAGATTGGCCCATTCCACCACAAATGTGCATGCCTCATCGATCCATTCCTCAAAATTGTCCTCCTCCAGAGTGTCTTCATCCACCTTCAGGCACTGCGAAAGTCCATCCGCTGCCCCATGCCAGGCTGCCAGAACATATACCAGGTTGAACTCGAACAGCAGAATTTCTGCAATCCAGCAATTGATCATCACATTTGGTTGGATGTCAGGGTTGTTGAGCATCCCCTTAATATACTTCGCATCCACCTCAACATCAAATGTGTCCAGCCCAATGAGAAAAATGTGGTATGCACATAGCATCCGGAACAGTTCAAAGAGCTCAATTTTTGCCTATGAGTACCATGACTCCTGTTCATTCCAGGTTATCAACCAAAACCACCTCAGCCACCACTGCTTTTCAGCATCCATTTGAAACAGAATGAACCCAACTGCAATCACCGAAGAGTTGACTGCAAGGATAACTTTCTACTTAGATTGATAGTTGATTTGGACAAGTGCTCCAGAGTGCATCACCGCATCCTTGAGCCATTGCATGGCAGTTACGTATTTGCCCTTTTATGCAAAATTGACCTCTTTCTTCAGCAGGGTGGTAAGTGGTTGAGCGATCATTGCAAAATCCTTGACAAAAATTCAGATGAGCCCATACATCTCTAGGAAGCCCTGCACCTGTGACACTGATTTGCATGGCAGCCAGTCCCTGATTTTCTGTATCTGGGACTCATTTAGTAGATGCCCCATATATGTGCAGTGATGTCTGACAATGACTACCTCCAGTACACACAAATAGGCCTTTTTTCTGTAGAACATCCCCCCGAAGCAGCCCATATAATGTAGAACCCAGTTCATGTTCTGAAAATGCTCCCAAATGAACTGCCTAATCCCCAGATTCTCTGGAATTGTCTTGTAGACACTGCCCGGAAGCTCATACCATGTCTCGGGACCCTTGACTGGAACATTATCCACGAAGAGAATCATCACTTCAGGAATTTCATCTTACAGGATGTGCATGACATCTCCATGCATGATCTGCATGGGGTTGGTACATCCCATGGGTATCGAGGTGAGGCAGAGTGAGCCTAATGGCATTTGAAACAATGTCATGTCCTGCGACCATTGGTTCAGGGTCCACTGATCAAAGGTGATGAACAAGTCCAAACTCCCATAGCATCTCCATGCCCTGAATGATTCTGCAAGGTGCTTAACCATTGAAGGAAACACACTATCCTTAATCACACCCCATTCAACAGCTGCAAGTTGTGTATCAGTCGGAGCAACTTCCTGTCACAGTGACACTGGACAAGAGATCAAAAAGACTAAAAAAACGGTCATGTGGAACATGCCGCCTTGATCCCCCTGATCTCAAAAGTGGCTAAAGAGCCTGACACTTACTAGCTGCACAGTAAGAGTCTGGAAAAATGATAGATGTATAAGTGGAGCTGGTGAGCTCAGTGGTCACTACTGTAGTAGATGAGGAGAAACAATCTGAAGTTTCATCCTCTACATGCTGGTCTTATATATGCGTACAGGATAGGCTGCTTACTATTGCTACTTTACCAATCTGGGACAAGATCTCGCTGACTACTACAGCATTTGTCAAGTCTGGAGCGAAAGGCCATATGCTCGTGAGAGCGAATCTATTCTAATACGTACTGGTACAGGAACATCTTTGTGAAACAATAAGTGAAGAGGTTCTTCTTCATGGAATTCAAGCAATGCTATGGGGAATCCCTGGGCTTCGGTGACCTTTTCTTATTGTGATAATGGCTATTCTTTGAGCTGATTGCCTAGATGATCCATAATGATTGTCCTTGTTCCTAAATGGATGCCCTTGTGGTTCCTGAAATAGACCAGTCCAACCATGTCATCTATTGGTCTGGACCATAACATGTGATGTTGACTATCACCTGATCTCTACACATCGCATTTGTGGCTGAGTGGCATAAGATATTGGTGAGACATGTGATCTGTGGCATGGGTAAAGTCACATGCAGACATTGTGGTAAAAATCTGTGACACTTCCCATCTTTTTTGACCATGCAGAATCATGGGGATCGATACAATGAGTTTGAAGCCTCATAGACCCCTGAGTCCATCTTGTCCTTGATGATCTGCATAACTTGGTTGAAAATTCCCGGAGGAATCAGCATGTTCTTTAGGACCCATGGGACATGTTCCACCACCGGAATGATGACCAGGTCAAAGTACTCCTGAAACTGCCCCTTCTCTAACATGTTTCAGGCAAAGGTTTCATTGTAAGTGCACATCAACAAGTCAACCAGATTTGCCTCCTCAGGCCAAAGGAAACCACCACCTGAAATGTCCAGAGCATCGTGCCATTCCTGGGTGTACCTGCCCTGAGGTACATACTCTGCCGGATGAGTTGGCAGCACTAAAAGCCCCTCCAATGGATCGGATGGCTTTTTACACATAACTCAAAACTCTTCAGATAGAGTGGTGGCAATGGGCTTGACTCAATTGGTGACCTTCTTGTATGCGAAGACCTTCGCTTCCTGCTCTTTGACCCTCAACTCCCCTGCCTCTGCCCAATCCCACACCCTCATTTTTTCCATCCAAAAACTGCCCAGAGGGTTCTTGCACTCATGTTCTGTGTCATACAGTGAAGACAAATGTATTTCTGATTCAGTGACATTACTTGGAACTTGAGATGACGAAGAAATTACTGACACAGTTTCAGAAGGTACCCAGCTCTTTCTGGGCCTGCCCCCTCCCCTCCAGGATGTATACCCATTCGCATTTTGCCCTTCCTCCCCTCCAGACTCTGTTGAACAGTCCCTGGTGGTGTGAGCACATACAAGGAGTACAATTCTATTAACATGTCTTGTTGAGCTAGGCCCGATTCATCGACTCTTGAAAATCCAGCTGTGCCAGATCTGCTTCACATTGTGTGGCCTGAGCTTTTGTGGGTACCATGATGCACTCCCCTGAGTGCAGGTTTGTGATGGTGATTTGCTGCTCCCTGGAGGCAAAGTTGTGGGTCTCACATGCTGAGGTAGCAAAGAAAGGTTGTCTCAGAAGTATCTTGAATGGTGCATGCTGAACGACTTGAACCTGTACTGTGATGATGACCATCCCAAAGTGAAGATGCATGCATGGAAGCTTCCTGATGGTCTTAGTCACCACAGTGTTTGTGGTCTTGAGTTGGATTGCCTTATCTGGGTTGAGCAGTGCCCTGAGGTCCTGCCAGATATCTTGATGCATTACACAAATCTGAGTGCCTTGGTCCAAAATACATTCACACTGCAGGGTGTCCTCAATGATCAGTTCCATGACCCATAACAGCAATGAACCCTTGGTTAGCAGCATAGTCTTCAAGGCAGTCAGGTACATGCTCTGTTTACCTTCATCACCCTTACCCTCATCCACAACTTCCTTAACCCAGGCCATTGTTGCCACATGCTTTGGGGTGATAAGCTCCTTTAGGTGCTTCCATGGCTCCAGGGTGTGTTGCATGAGCTCACCTACCATAACCATCACTGGCAGATCCAGTATTCCTCTGACCAGACCTGGGATGTCCTTTTTATCCTCAATTGGCATGCGATGTCTGTAGACAGGCTGCAATGCTGGGATACCCCCCGGAAGTGAAGTGGCCTTGATCCCAGGCAGTCTTTTCTGCACCATGCAACTCTCCCCAGATATGACCTTCTCCTTGTTGTACCTCCCTGCAACTACCTTGACCCTGTCAAACTGTACCCTTTACCTCCCTCCATCCGCTACCTGCAAGACCATTCTCAATGTCTCTGCCCCTCCTGCCTCATTGATTACTGCCATGTTTACCCCACGGACCTCTTCTAGAATGTTAACCTGATGTGGAGGCTTGTTGCATGCCTAGGTCATTGCCGGGGACTGCACTGTCATTATTGCCGAAGGCCTGAGATGCTGGATGTATCAGGAGTTGACACATTCCCTCATGTTGTTTCTGAGCAGCACTCTCAGGATGTATACTCCATCTGGCAACTGAACCTGACCATTTTCATCATGATAGATCTTCCTGGCCTTCATGTCCTCATCCACACATGGGCAACATCCCATGAAGTGATTCAGTCCATCACAGTAATTGCAGTTCCTGTTGATGGGGTACCCTGACCCAGCCATATTTCCTGGAGCTCCCACCACTGTTCTTGCCATTGATGCATTTATTGAATCCTGTGGCACATAACCTCTCCAATGACTCTGCCCACTGCCTGACTAAACTTGATTTTGCAGGAAACTCACTAGATGATCCACTGACTTGCGCAGGTCCGAGATCCCATCTGGCTCCTGCTTAATGGTCATCTCAATCATCCTAAGACTCATCCTGTTTGCAGTTACAGGTCCCATCACATTGGTCCCCCCTGGTTGTCCACCCTAGACTGTTTTCACATTTTCAGGACTCGTTCTGCATTCGAGAGTCTCATAGCTTCCTCCGATAAGACCTTTACTGGCTAGAGTTTTCTGTGCAGTGTCATGTACATCATTTACGTTCCAGGTGTTATCAGGATGGTGATTGGGATGAAGTATCTCACAGTGAAGCAAGATCATTGCCTTTTTAGCTGGGCGGAAGCCCTGAATGTACTGCTCATCCCATGCTGTGGGTGAAACTCATCCCATCTGGATAAGGTAGTTCATGATCGGAGCAAACTCACGAAAGTAGATCATCTCTTCAGAGTGGGTATGGATACCTTGGGTGAGAGCCTCCATGATGCACTGCTCAAGATTGGCAATGATGTAGAGATGGTTACCTTCTGCCCCAGGGTAGAGCTCAAAGATCTGTTGCTTGAAGAGGACATAGTCCGCAGTGGACATCACAGGGACCGTGGACCATAGCTCTTCCTTCTGAACCATTAAGTAGCACAGTGCATAGTGGATTTTTTGCCTGCCTGTAAGTCTGGCCTGTACCACAAGCTCTTCCAGGTCATTGAAGTATCATCTAAGCTTTCTAAATTCCCCATCAAATGTCTTTTTTTTTTTTTTTTTTATTTATACCCCGCGCTATGTGCGGCATGGTGACCCGAAGATACACGGAACATTGTAACTATGAGTAAGTCGCCATCAAGTGTGAAGGCGACATAGGGGAGGCAATAAATGCGAAAGCAAACCGGTCGTTCGGGTAGACAACTACATGACAATGTCCACATCACCATCATGCGCCTTCGAAGATGGGCCAGCGGTGGGAGAGCTGATCGCGCCTGCACCGAGTAGATCGGTGTTGAGGGCTGCCGGGGGTCAGTACTCAGCCCGCTTTGGGCACTGGATCGAGTCCGCGTGGTGGAGACCACGACAGTTGATGCACCGCGAGTGCGGGCAGAGGTCGGAGGCAGCGCGATTCTCCTTCGCGCATGAGGTGCATCGAGAACGATGCGAGTCTTCATGATGACGGCCAGCACACACACGGCATCGGAGCGGTCTGGTACATCCTTGGGCGAGGTGACCGTACGCCCAGCACCTCGTGCACTGTTGGAGACGCGGCTTCTCGTGCCAGCGCGACGTAGTGATGGATGCACCGAAAACGAAGAGGGGGGTGCGGAGGAGGGTGGCGAGAGCGGTGCCATCTGGGTCCTCAAAGCCGAGGATGACGGATGAGTGGGCCCCGTCGATGAGCTCAGGTCGACGTGCCCAGCGCGGAGGTTGGGTGATGGTGAGGCGCTTGATGGCCGGGTTCTTGAGGAGCTCCTCTGACAAAGCAGAGGGAGAGTGGACCTCAGCACTGGGGGAGGTTCGGGTGTACACATTGCCGATGAGGACGCGCGACCACTTGCTATCCCTGGAGATAGTCTGGTCGGCACCTATTCCAAGGGCGAAGCGGATGGTCGGGAGGTGGGCGTCGATGCGGGCGTGAGAGGTGTTGGGCGGGAATACGAGGATGAGGTTGCCGGCGGTGCTGGGGTAAGCAGCCAGAGCGGTGAGGCCCTCCGCAGTTGGGATCAATGCCAGAGCCCTGTTAACATCGGCCAGCGTGACAGCAGGGGGGGTTGAGACGAGGCACTCGGGCATGGTGCCCGACCAACGAACCACATACCGCACGGGCGCAGGAGCACGCTTAGGTGGCGGTGCGCTCTTGGGCTCAGGAGCCTTGGGGCGGGATGGTGGGTTCGGCGCATGTGCGGGATCAGCCGGGTGCGAAGAGGTGACTGCTGTCGCATAAGACCGGGTGCAGCCGGCCTTTGCCTGAGGTGGGACCGGGGTGCGACCGGCAGGAGCCGGCGCAGCAGTTCCCTGACTCACGCGCGCTTCAAGGGCGGTGAGCCGGGTTCCCAGGTCATTGCGAAGGGTGGTGATTGCAGCGGTAACGTCGTCCACCGTGAGCGGAGAGGCAGGGGCAGCAGGAGGGGGTCAGAGTCGGGTTGCCAGATAGTCGTAGAGGGCCGCGTTAGCAGGGATGGAAGCCACTAGTGGGTCGGCAGGGTCCAGGAGGTTGAACCAGGCCACAATTTCTTTGATGATCACTGTGACTGTTTCCAGCGAGCTCACCATTCGACCGGCAGGAGAGCCGGAGTTTCGCGCCATGTTGGCGATGTGAGAGAGTCAGAAGTTGATGGCTTTTTCTTTAATCCAGTCAGGGACAGGGGGGAGTGGAGGCCTGGCAGGCGCCGCAGGCACCTGCAGAGATGGTGATGGTTGCGGTTCAAGAGGCATTGCCATCAAATGTCGATGCCATCTCCTGTCTGCATGCTGGCATTATGAAACCTTTCCCGAATGCTTGCCCTGGTCCTGATCCACCACCGCTGCTGCTTTCACCTGGTCCACAACCACCACCACCTCTACCTGGTTTGTCACCACTGCTGCCTCTGCCTGGTCCACCTGATCCACCACTTCTGCCTCCTCCTGGTCCGGATCCATTACCTGGTCCACTGCTGCTGCCGCTGTCCATGCCACCATATCTGCTACCCAGTTCACCTGATCTGCAAATCCTTTTCCTGCATTACTCCCCTGTCCTGAATCTCCACCTCTACCTCTGCCTCTGCCTCTGCCTCCTTCTCCTCCTGTGTATCTCCCCAGGTTTCCAGGCACCATAGTGTATCCTGCTGCTAACAATACTGGAATTTGGGATGTGTACATGGACTGGGTTATGGCACCCATTTGCATGGGACTCTGAATTGTGATCATTTTGGCAATAGTCAGTATAGCTGAGTAGGACACAGTGTGCTTTCACTTCCTAACCTTGGGCGGTGTCTGCTCAGTTTTTTTTTGTAATGGAGAAGTGACCGAGAAGAATCACTGAAAGATCACGGAAGATGGAGCCCTCATTTTAGGCTGCATCCATCACGTCATTGTATGCCAAAGGCTCATACTCATCCATCTCATCCTCTCATCCACTGACTGAAATTTCCGGGTGCAATCTGTCTGTGCTTGGCATGGGATCGGATGCAGTCTCGATGACCATTTCCGAGTTTTTGTCTGAAAGGCTGGGTGTTGCTGAGGAAACTGACAAATTTGAAATGTCCATATTTTGTGGGTCTGACCATTCCTGTCTCCTCTCCCTGGCAAGGGCTTGGGCTGCCCTGGCTTGGCTTCTGGTCTTCACTTTCTGAAATTTTTCTTCCCTTGTGGTGGGCTCCAGAAAATGTGATTGTGAGTACTCGGCTAGCTGAGAAATGACAGCAAACAACTGAGAGGGATGAAGGGTGAACAGTGCATGGAAAATTTGCATCTAGAGGTGATGCAGAAGCCAAATGTAGAAGATGGTGAAGAAGTGAATGAAATCAATTCTCAAAAGGACAGCGAGGCCATACAGGACACAGCCTGGGGTGATGTATACAAAGTATGCATAACAGAATGGTTCTGGGGTGAGTTTGACTGGCTCTGGATGGAATACAGGAGTCTTAGAATGAGGGTGTACCATGTCTGCTGCTATGTTCTGCTGGTTCACAAGACTCATTCAACAGTGAGAGCAAAGATGAGAGTTCTGACATGTAGTAGAGCCTGAAGCCTGAGAGGAGAACTAAGACCACTGTTCCTGTTGCTGTCCACTGCTGTGCAAACCTCTTCACATTCTTTGTCTCATAGATACATGGTCCAAAAGCCCCCCCCTATTCTCTATCTACATGTTCCTTAAATATGGCAATCCCAGGATGCACTTCCGCCAGTCCTCATTCCTGCATTAGACCATGCTTGGCCCCTAACTCGTTGACCCATTTTGCTATTCCTTATTCTTTTAGAGGGCCCACCACTGCTGGCCACTCCATTATATTGCATTTCAAATCCATGTTTCACTATTTGTTTCCACAGAGACCCACTCGTTCCAGCTCCCAGGTTGTCACCCCCAATGCTTGCCCTCCACCACGTCAATTCCCACTGACTTTCCCTGCAACCTGGTAACCACATTCCCATCCACCTGCCCCAATCCACCCTGACCTCTCTGCCCAATACTGGATGCTTCCCCCAATGGCTCTCCATTAGCTTTGCCCCCTAGAGTCTGAGGACCTGCTCCGAGACTCTGTCCACATCTGGGTCTCTGCCCATCCTTGCCCCTTATTCCCATCTCTCCTCCTATCTAGCCATGTCTTACACCATGCAGGCTCAGTTTGATTCTCTGGCTGTCACTTGCACTGCCTGGCTCCATCACTACCTCCTCTTGCTTGAGGTGCTGGCATTCAAGCACACCCATATCCTGTTCGGGTCGCATCCCACTGTGGTTGAGTGGTATCACTGGCGCACTGCTGTCTAGTCACTTTTGGTACATTTATTGATATGCTTTCTCACATGCACTGGTCTGAGGTCCTCTTGTATCACTGGGGGGCTTCTGCTCATTCAGACCTTGTGGAGTCCAGTTTGCACATCCACTCAATTGACTCCTACCCATGGGTCCATGAACTGCACATGCTCGTCAACTCTTTGCTAATCCTTGGCAGTGCTCCAACCAGCAGGACTCACCCCACCATCACTCTAGAGAATGATCCTGACCACACACTGTGCCTCGAGGACTTCACTGGTCAGTTCTGATATGAGGTACCCAGATGTGTACTGGTTTGCCCTAGATGGGCATCGTGTGTTGTGTACCCATCCCATAGTGTAGAAATAAGTAGCTGTCCTGCACTGCATACTCTGCCCTAAGCCTGACATGCCATGTACCTGTCCCATAGGGACTGTGTCTGTAGCCTGCCCAAGAGAACTTATTCTGAACCCATGCTCATCCACATCATGTACTTGACCTGAGAGAACTCCTTATATGTGGGGGCAGCCCAAAACACCACCTCACAGCGCATATCACAGAAGTAGATGATGATGAGGATTTTCTTTGTCAAGTTCTTTGAAGTCTGGCCAGAGAACTCTTGGAAATATAGATTGTATTAGTACTGGCTCAATCTCACATGTACCGCAGAACAATTTTTTATATATTGCATCCACCGGTTCATCTAAAAATGCAATTGATTTACCTGTCTACCTTAAACAGGAAGCACGGGAAGTCCAAACTGAGGTGCTCCTTGACTCAGAAGCATATTCTTGCTACATCAACCAGGCACTGGTTGATAGGCTAAGCTTAGAGGTGATTCCTCTTGAAAGAGAGATCAGGGTTTATAACGCAGATGCTTCTCCAAACAAGGGAGGAACAATTAAGCACAGAGTAGTTTTCAATGTTACTATTGCAAACCATACAAGCCGGCAAAGCTTATTGGTTACCAACTTAGGACAAAAAGACATAATACTCAGCATGAGTTTCCTTAAGGAACATAACTCAGAGGTTAACTGGAAGGAACTCAGAGTAGAGTTTAGTCATTGCCCAACCTGCTATGCCCCAGCCTACATAGCTATCCAGGATGAGAACCTGGAAGACACAAAAATCCCTCATATCGAAGACATGATGGAGTTTATCAGTTTCCAGGAGTTAGGTGGCAACTGGAACAACATGAATAGCTTCATCAGATGGGTGTCACTCTCAGAAGATTCAGATGCACAGATAGCTGCATCAATGATCATGGGTTTGGACACTAAGAGGAATCAGGATACATAGCCAGAACCTGGAGAATCAGACAAAGTTTACTGGTTATCTTACGTCCCCGTTGCCTACCATGAATATGGTGATGTATTCTCCAAAAAGAAGTCAGAGCATATGCCCACAAGAAAGCCATATAATCATTTCATTGAACTTGTACCAGGAGCATCACTACCATGCCTGGCAAAGCTGTATCCCATGACCCTACAAGAAAAGAATTTACTAGATACATGGATTGACCAAGAACTAGCAAAAGGATACATCACACGGTCATGCAGCCCCACAG